AGAGAACAGAGATGAAGAATAGGATAAAAAGACATCAATACTCAGCTGCTAACAAAAGACCAGCAGTTTGAACCCATTCACTGGCTCTGCAGGAGAAAGATCTAGCTATCTGCTCCCATAAAGATTACAGCCTAGAAAACCTTAGGGTACAATTCTACTATGGCCATAGCATCACTGTGAGTCAAAATTGACTCAATGACACCTAACAAGAGTTGTAAGACATGGTGAGGAGGGGGTTTGAGGTTGAGTCTAAGCTAACTAAGCTTACTTACAGGATTGTAAAGATTCATATTTTATAAAAAAATCTATAGGCTGAGGAACTCTAAAAGTGTATAATTCAACCCATAGACAAATGATGTTACAATCACTGCTTGGAAAGTTTAAGACTCAAGAAACACGCAATTAAAAACAAACAAAAAAAGCCAACAACTAGTTAGTGATTTATAAAAATGCCTGAATTAACTACTATGTTCATCACCATACTACATAAAGCTAACCTACATATTCCATAGGTTAGCATCTGAAAACATAGAAGTGTGAAAACAAAAGAAAATACTTAATTTTCTGGTGTCTGGGAAAAGCCCTTTTAAGATGTTAATGTGTGAAGCACTTGACTTCTAATAGAAAGTATACAGGAAGAAATCTTAACTGCAGCATAAAAGTCACATTTTCACAGACTCTCAAAATAGCAAAATATTAATCATTCAATGCCAGAAATTTTTCTTTTTGGAATAAAGAAAGAGATTTTGAATTTGAGAATCATAATTTATAAGCTTTGTCTTATGATGTGCAAATATTTATGAGATAAATTATAAATAAATGATTCTAACTAAAATGAAACCTTAACCCAAGTGCTAACTATTATCTTTCTTAGATCATTAAGTTCATTTAATTCTCTTTCCCTTCCTATATTAGGTCCTTCCACCAACCCCATAACAATTTGTAACCTTTTCATGCAGATCTTACCTACACAAGTAAAATTCTCTTGAGAATCTGAAATAAAATTTAAATTATTTAGATAGAGATGGTCCTAGATTAATAACTACTACCCTATGCTTCTAAAAATCAATAAACACAGAAGTGAAAAACTAAATGTGGATTCAGCCAAACATATGTCTTAGGAGCCAGATCTATTGTTAGTGGAGTAAGACCATTTCATTGTCTCTAAAGGGTACATTATACTTGTCAAGGCATTTTGAAATAAGTTGGCTATTTCAGCCATTCCAATGAATCTATTCACATTAAGTAATTATAGGTTAGGAACTGAAAAGTAAGAAGACATTAAAGAATAGAAAATATTATGTATGCATCATGAACTTAATTTGGAATTCTTTGTGTTTCTTAAAAAGTGGGAAGGTCAAAAAAGGTGGAGGTGTAAGAACTGAAAGAATTTCAAATTGGAAGAAGACATGAACTGCAATTATGTTCATATGCCCTATTTAGGAAAACATCTTGAAGTCATCTTTCAGTGTTAAAAAGGCGGTATTTGTTGTCTGCATTTTTTTTCAATCTTTCCATTAATTAGTTATGCTTCAGAACTTATTCATTAAACTTCCTAGCACTTTTGACACACAAAGAATTATGTACTTACCAAGAGACTATTCAGAGACAAAAATCCAAAGTAACAAAACTGCATCTATTTTTGGATTCACAGATTTTAATTAATTTTAAAATTACTTCTGTTCTCTACTTTTTGAATGGCAAATGAATCCATTTAAGAAGTAGCCAAACCTACTTACTTCTATCAGAACAATTTGAATAATTCCCCATTTTCCCAAGGTGTCTTCAGATGTGAGTGCTAGAGGGATGCCATCCTATGTGACCTTTACTAAATTCAAGACAAAAAGTATTAAACATGGGGGGGGGGAAGGACATATTTCAATGTGTGGTAGTTAAGGTCATGTGTCAACATGGCTGGTCTTGGTTTTTGAGCGGCTGGGCAGCTGGATGTAGTAATTCCCCATGATGAGACTGGTAATCAATTCCATGGTGGAATCTACTATGTGCAGCTGAGTAGCTGCCTCAGGGATGTGTTGTGCTTCCAATTTATAAGAAGACAGCTTTGAGAAAGGTCTCTAGTTTTTTGGCATGCTTGGATGCTGCATTTGCCTGACTTAAAAGTGAGTGGCCTGCCCTGTTGCCTGCCAATCATGGGACTGTCTCTGGACTTGAACTAGTGGCCTGCAGTGTTCTTTGATAATCTGGGACTATGCCCTTTTCCATGTCAACCTTGGGTTTGCCAGACTTAGTAGCCAGCAGCAGCCTGAGTTAAGAGAAGCCTACAGCTTCAGTGGGCCAGGAGCAAGAAGCAGAGCTAAAGCCAAGGTCAACGGGGCTTCAGCCAGCCCCTAAATCTGACACTTTGAACTCAGACTTCTAGCCTCCTAAACTGTAAGAGAATAAATCCCTGTTTGTTGAAGCCACCCATTTGTGGTATTTCTGTTAGAGCAGCACTAGAGAACCAAAACACAATGCTAAAATCCACAATTCACAATGAAGGTATAATAGCCATGGGTATCTCTGCACCAAATAACACAGCAACAACTCTGATAAAGCACAAACTATAAAAGACATAAATAAAACAGAATAATAATACTTTAACATGCCACCCTCAGTATAAGACAGATCAAGTCGACAAAAGAAAGTAAGTAAGGCTATAGAAGAACTAATCAGCTTATGCTGTAAGGTAGAATTTAAGGAAATACATCAATTTTTTTTTTTTTTAATTTATAATTTCAAAATCATGTTACCAAAAATGAGAAAAATAAGAAAAAAAAAGGACAGGAAAGGAATGCTAGGTCTAATGCTGGTAGTCACAGTTTTCCTCCCCCTTTCCTAAAATATTGTCAAGGCATCTAGGTTGTTAAACAAAACCCCTAATCTGATTGCCTTTGGATTAAACTCATCTTTGTTACAGGCCCAAGGAAATGGGGAAAGAAAGGTTGCCAGAGAAGTGTTCATATAATTTGACTCATTAAGCAGAAAGATAAAGAGTGTCTGAATCCCAAGATTTTTGAAGAAGACAAACAAAAAACACATACTCAAAGATATGAAATGTGACAGATATATGATGAGACTAGTCTAATACCCAGGGGGCCCTGTGTTCATTTTTACTGTGTCATTGCACAAAACTAGCTACCATTTTATTTTAAAATGAAAAGAAAATGCATTTTGTCTGTCTCACAGAGCAAATGATTCCAGCTTAACTGACCCAGCCTAGAGGCAATCAACTCAGGGCTTTCTCCAAACTTCTTTTAGAAAGAAATTAGCAAGGTGAAGCTTTAATGAAGAAAATGGGGCAAAAGAAATGACAGTGAGTCTACAGCTGAGGAAATTTATCATGATAATACTCATTTTACTACAATATATTTCATGGTTGTTTTCCCACCCATGATTGACACGAACATAGAAGAAAAGAAAATACACCTCTCCGCCATTTGTGTTTTATTCTCTTTAAGCAAACAAGAATGTTTGTAGGGCTTATGTGTTCTATCTTATCACAAAGGGTTGTTATAGTGAAGTGTACACTTTATATAAAGGATTATATATAACTCCTTTATATTTCAGTAAACAAAGCAAACAAGCACAGAGATGCATTAAGCAGACCCAGAGTGTTGACTCCAAAGTGCTGTATGGTTTTGGTTCAAATAAAGCATAAATAAAAATAGTCCCTAGAAGAAATGTAACCATAACTGTATAATTTCTAAATAATTAAGCGAAGATTCACAAACAATTATCGTTCAGCCATTAGCAACCCTGAACCAATTACTGTTAAGTCTTACAAATTTAACAGAACCTATTTTCCTGTGAAGGATCGTGTCTTCTCAGTTCTGCATTTTTTTTTTCCAAACAATTGACATTTGAAATCAGTCCTTCATTTTTGTGCTATATTTTGCTTTTGCTATTTCTAAAATATATCAGTCAATCGTTTGCTCATGAGAATAAGTGGCATTCAAGCTATGGGAGGTTAATCTTAGTAACTAAAAATCCAATAGTTTAAAAATTGAGTTAATTTTTCATAAATCATAAGCCATGGAAAAGAGTGTGATCAAAATGGAGCTGCAGTTCTAACTTATTTTACTTGAGGAAAAAAAACAAGAAATGTTTCTCCTCTGACCTCATTATTGCTTCCTCTTATATCTATGTGGATTTCACAAACTTGCTGCCGATATTTGAACATAAAATCATCTAAAAGGTCATTTAGAAATTTTTTTACCAAGATTTATATCTTACGCTGTCCCCGAATATGTAAAATTTTGTATTTTGTCACTTACATGCACTGTCACTGTCTTTCTTTTTGTTAGAACAACTACCTACCGATAATTAAATTATCTGAATTTTGGGATGAATATATTATTAGCCAAATAATTTTCCTGGCTTATAAATAGGGATGGATAGAATCAGGTTTAAAAACATAAAGCTAATTTATTTACTTGGTGATTACTCTAGTATAACGAGTCAGATTAATTTACCTTTTCATCACTTTGAGTTCACTACTTAGGTCTACTATTATGAGGCAGAAAGACCTGGAGTAAGATGACCTGTATTCAATCTCTAATTCTTTTACTAACTCACTGGGCAAGTCACTAAACTTTTCTGGGCCTCACTTTGCTAATTCCTAAAGGAAAGGATTGAATTAGGTTCTATTGCCCTTCTGAGACTAACACTCAGTATCAGTAACCTGACAATCACTCTACAAGCCTTTTTCACACTGGCCAACATGAAGGTGCAAGGCACCTAAGGCCATAATCAGCTCTAATTTAAAAGATACTGTCTTACAGTTTCCAAAAATATTTTAATAAACCCTCACATGGCCCATTTGTGACAAATACTAATGTTCTTTGCTGAAACATTACTAGTTTTTACTAAGATTCATCATCTCATTAGTAACTCAGTTTTTAAAGTCACCAGACAAAGGAAATTTCTCTTAAGAAACCTGAGAAGCAAAAATCTCTAAAACTGTTACTGGTTTGCTACTACATTAGGAAAGTTCACAGTACCTAAAATAGCCACCACCTCATCATCCTGGATGACTTCCAAGGATCCCGACACCACAAAACAGAGGGCATCCACACTTTCTCCAGCATGGTATATGAGGTCCCCGGGAGCACAGTGAATGGTTTGGAACTCTACTGCCAAGGCGCGCAGACACCCATCGCTGGCCAATCGAAAAGCAGGATGTTCATTAAAAACCTTCCGGTTTAGATGAACACAGATATCAGCTCTCATGTCCTTGGGACAGATGGAGAGGACCTAAAGAAAGTGAGAGATGAGTAAGTGAGAAGGAAAGAGAAAGGGGACATTTCAGAAAGAGCCATCCAATAAATATTTCTTGACTATGACTATGTCTGCTACACACTGTACTTGATACGAGAAGGCACAGTTAACAAGACACAGCTCTGTTCTCAAGGCCCTAATGGTATCCAGTGAGATAAGCTGATGAGCACATGGACAATACAGTTGGTAAATGCTTTTAGAGTGGTATGAGTCTCCTACAGGAAGAGCATAATCTTGAGGTCGTCAGGAAAAGAGTTCCAGAAAGAAAAAAAAAAAAAGCTAATTTATTTTATCAGTGATCTAACTAAAATAGGGAATTAACATTCATTTTATTCTAGTTGGCATTTCAGAAATCTTTCATAACTAAATCAAAATTCAGTATTATGGACTTTTACTTCACCTTGGAGGAGAAGTCATGTGAATCAGTTATAAGAACAAAAAACATCCTTCTGACTTGACATGCTGGCAATGGCTGGTAAAACTCTACTCTCTAAATATTTTTGTCACTCTGAAAGACTTTCCTCTTACATATCAGTTAATGACTAGGGAGTTAAAAGGTTATCACCAGCCTCTGTAGGGCTTAGGCAGCTGGACATGTCAGCAAGGTAGACACACCAGTTTGCATTGTAGCCCACACTCATTCTGGTCTTTGACACCTAAAAACTACTGAGGGCCATGGGAGGATTCAAGGTCTAGTCATGTTTAGAAGAGGGAGCAAATGGCAGAAATATGTTTAGAGACTTAGAGGTAGAGAACTTTCATTCCATGTAGCCTTCAGACAGGGCAATAAAAGACAAGATGGAATTGGACAGGATCATCACATTTAGTCAGAGTATCATTGTGCAAGATGGGATTACAGAAATCAGTGCCAACTACTTAAAACACACACGTGCAATCCTCCCCCACATCTTTGGGTAAATTATTCCTTATACTCAGAAATGCTTTGCTTTGATAGGCTTTCAAGCCCTCCAGCTGAAGTCTAAGTTGATTTTTCCCCCATTAAGTTATACTGCATAATGTTTTAATATGAAATAGCTTTTCTCCCCCTGTGCTAATTGCATATTTAAGCTTAAAAATTACCTAAGGCTTAAAATATTCCCTGACTATTCCTTTTATTTGGGGCTCACTATCAATGAAAATCTGGTTGTTTCCCTGTGGAGGAGATGACTCTATCATAAATGTAAAGACCATTAATTCAATTATGCTTTCCATCCCCTCTCTTAACCTTTCCTAATGTTGCTGCTGTTAGGTGCCATAAAGTAGGATCCGACTCATAGCAACCTATATACAATACAACAAAGCACTGCCTGGTTCTGCACCATCCTCACGATCCTTGTGTTTGAGCCCTTTGTTGAAGCCACTGTGTCAATCTATCTCATTGAGGGTCTTCCTTTTTTGCTGACTTTTCTCAATAACATGCATATTATTTCACATCACTTAATCCTCCCTGTGGGCTGGCTTTTCATACTCCCTCAAATTCCTATAGGTAGTAGTGATCAACTCACTCACCTGTCTGAAAAGCCTCATTTTTGAAGAAATAACTGCCTATCAGTCTTGTTTCCTTTAATCTATTGATGTTTAGTGACTTCTGACTATCTCAGTAATTTAACAGGCATTTACTGAGCTCCTACAGTGAGCCACGTCACACTATTAAATCCCTGGAACTACAAGGATAAATAAGACACTGCCTTTGCTTTGAAGGAGCTCCCCCATTAAGAAGGGGGAAGTAGGTAGGTAAAGATAAGTGTAATACAGTGAAAAAGTGCTTGGATAGGGACATGGCCAGGGTGACACGAAAGTTCATCTGCCTAGGGGTGTCATTTCTTATGGCCTTGGTGTTGCATAATAACTGCAACAATGAGCTCAAACATACCACCAAGTACGAGGATGATACAGAAGTGGGCACTATTTCATTCTGTTACTCATGAGGCCACCATGAGTTGGAGCTGACTCAATGACAACTAACAACAACAAACCTCACTTGTGAAATGGGGATGATAATACTGCTTAATTTCATAAACCTATTGTAGGGAGTAAATGACAGTTTATCCCGGTTTAGCCTGGCACATAGCAGAGGCTTAAGAAACTATTATTATTCCTATCGAACATAAACTTCCCTACAGAGTTTATTGTTGATTTAGTTCTCCACTTTTTCCACTTTCTACAACTCTTTAAATTCTGTGTCTTGCCTGTATGGTGAGTTTACAGATAGAATGAAAAGAAAAACAAGATTTCAGCATGACCCTGGAAATATTTCATATATTAGCTAAGGCTAATAGGTTTCCCAAGTTGCAAATGCAATTAGTACTATGAAAGCAAAATAAATATAATAATAATTTTAGAACACACTAACACAAACATTATACCAAATGGCTTAATAGAAAAATAGATAGTTCTAATCTTATTCATTTCTAGTAAAGAATTTTGAATATTTTTACATTCATTTTGGTAATTGTTATTTTATTTCCTTTTAATTCTTTCCTTCAGGATTCATGCTGCAAAGGAAATCTAGTGTCTGCAATATTCTCTGTTTAATGGCATTCCAAGAGGATTATTATTACACTTTTAAGTGTATCTTTCCCTTTTTGCTTTACTTCATTTATGATGCCAACTCATTTACTATTTTGATTGACGACATATACTAATGTCCACTTGTCATAAAGTGAGAGTTAAAACTAAATGTTAAAATAGATCAACAAAAGTTGCACCCAGTGGTAAGCTCCTTCTCTTCAACCAGATAGATTATGTACATTTAAATGGCTTTATTGTTATTTTTATGGAAACAAATGAAGGCACTAATAACTTTTTATCATTGCTTTTAGTTACTGTGGTTACTGTCCAGTTGATAGTGACTCATGACAACCTCATGTTTGCAGAGTAGAACTGTCCCATAGGAATTTAAAGGCTGTGAACTTTTGGAAATGGATCACCAGGCCTGTATTTTGAGGCCATTGGGCTCAAACATCACCCTTAGGCTAGTACTTGAATGCTTAATCACTTGCACCACCTAGAGACTCTTAATAACTGTCTTCTTGCTGGTGTTAAGTGCTGTTGACTTTGTTCCAACTCACAGTGACCCTATATACAACAGAATAAAACACTATTCAGTCTTACGCCACCCTCACGTCGTTGCTATGCTTCAGCCCACTATTGCAGCCACTGTGTCTATTCATCTTGCTAAGGGGCTTCCTGTTTTTCACTGCCCTCCACTTTTCTAAGGATCATGTCCTTCCCCATCCTGGTGCCTCCTGATAGTATGTCCAAAGTATGTGAGACGAAGTCTCGTTCAGACTGTACTTCTTCCAAGACAGATTTGTTTATCTTCTGACAGCCCATGGTATATTCAATATCCTATATCAAAGTCATAATTCAAATGTATCAACTCTTCTTCAGTCTTCCTTATTCTTTGTCCTGCATATAAACTCACTTGCTGCCTTTGAGTTGGATGATTGAAAATACTATGGCATGGGTTAAGCATATCTTACTCCTTAAAGTGACATCTTTGCTTTTAAACTTTTATAAGAAGGTCTTTGGGAGCAGATTTGTCCAATGAAATACATCATTTGATTTCTTGACTGCTACTTCCACAGGCATTAATCATGGATTTAAGTAAAATGAAATCCTTGACAACTGCAATCTTTTCTCCATTTATCGTGATGTTGCATATTTGTCAAGTTGTATGGATTTTTTATTTCTTTATGTTGAGTTGTAATCCATAGCAATGGCTGTAGTTTTTGGTCTTCAAGTCCTCTTCATTTTCAGCAAGCAATGTTGTATCATCTGAATATCATACATTGTTAATGACTCTTCCTCCAATCCTGATGCCGCATTCTTCTTCATAGAGTCCAGCTTCTCAGATTATTTGCTCACCATACAAATTGAATAAGTGTAGTGAAAGGATATAACCCTAACACACCCTCTTCCTGGTTTTAAACCATGCAGTACCTCCTTGCTCTGTTCAAATGAATACCTCTTGGTCTATGTACAGGTTCCTATATCAGTGTTCTGTAGTCCTCATTCTTTGCAATGGTATCCATAATTTGTTATGATCCACACAGTCAAATGCTTTTGCATAGTCCATGTTTTGGTTCTCTAGTGCTGCTCTAACAGAAAATACCAGAAGTCAATGGCTTTAACAAACATGGCTATAAGTCCCAGTTCAAACTGCCAGCTCTAGGGGCTGGGTGAAGGCTCCTCGACCTTGGGCTTCAACTCTGCCTCTTGCTCCCAGCCCACTGAAGCTGGAGGCTTCAATTAACTTAGACAGCAGTTGACTGTTAAGGCTGACAAACCAAGGTCCACAAGTAAAATGGCACAGTCCCTAAATTATCAAGCAACATGGCAGACCACTAGTTCAAGTCCAAAAACAGACTCAAGATCATCAGGCTACATGGTAGGATACTGAATGAAGACTCAGTCACATGCAGCATCCAAGCATGCCAAAAAGCCCAGACACTTTTCTCAAAGCTGCTGCTTATACATTGGAAGCAGACCACATCCCTAAGGCAGCTACTCAGCTGCTCCCAGCAGATTCCACCCTGAAGTTGATCACCAATCTCATCATGGACAATTACTACATCCAGCTGCCCAGCCACTCAAACCAAGACCAGCCAAGTTGACACATAACCTTAACTACCACAGTCAATAAAACGCAGGTGAAAATCTTTCTGGTATTCTCTGCTTTCAGCCAAATCCATCTGACATTATCAATGATATTCTTCATTCGATGTTGTCATCTGAATCAGGCTAGCATTTCTAGCATTTCCTTGTCCATGTACTCCTGCACAAATGAGTAATATGAAATTATCATAAATTTGAAATGACCCTGAAGATTATTTAGCCTGTGTTGTTGTTGTTATGTGCTGTCAAGTCGGACCCGACTCATAGCAACCTCTCCTTGGGTTTCTGAGGCAGTATCACTATGGAAGTAGATTGCCCCATCTTCCTTCTGAGGAGTGGCTGGTGGATTTGAACTT